AGACGCCATGCTCAGCTCTCCCGGGTAGACGCGATAGCTCTGCTCTCTGAGGCACACGCGATGAAGATGGATGTAGGCTAGAATCTTCCCGGTAAGCGCACCTTGGGGTGCTTACACACATTATTAGAAATGGGCTAGTCCAGGTGCGAGAATTAGCCTATAAGGGCTAGAGTATGGGCCAAGCAGTTCTTTAAATGAATACAGTTTGTGTGTTGTTATTTCGGGCATAAGCTAGCCAAGCGGCCGGGGTGTTGGGGACGCAGCCCCGCCGCCGCTCTTATTTCAACACATCCCAAATATCCCCTCCACCATTTGCCACAAGCCTCACTCAGCTCAACCTTACCCTGAACGTCTGCTTCCTCCCCAGCAAGTGCTGGGCTTCCAGGAGTCCATTACCACCCTCAGCTCCTTACCCCTCTATGGGGATTGAACTGAGGAATTCACAAATAGCGGTTAAATACGCCATCGTCAAGCTACACCCCCAACTGATCCCCTTTCAAATTTTAGGTAAACAAATTGAATTTATTTGTGAAAACGCTACTCTTATACTTAGGTCATCTAATAACTGTCTTTTGCTTTTGTGTGAGCTTTCTCGGTTCTGATGTAACTTAGCCCAACAATATTAACATTTAACATAAATCGTCCAGCCTTGGATATACAACTAGGTTAAGGCCAGCCTGGGCTATATGAGACACTGTCTTGGGAAGTCCAGTAGTTCCAATCCCTCAGACTGCCAGCCCTCTTACTCAGGAGCCGCCTTTGCGTGGTTGAGTCGAGGCTCGCCTTTCCAGTCCACACCCTCCATTTCCCCGCCCCGCCTCAGCTCTGTCCCGTCTGTCTGTGGTCATCTGCAAACCCAGGAAGACCCAGTGGCCTTCAAACCTGCTTTGCCCAAGAGTCTGCTTTGACGGGTCAAACATCCCCTCCCTCTTCCATTCTTCCCACTGCCTGTGGCCGTCTGCCCATCTTTGCCTTCACAGCCTGCTCTAGCTGAACAGCTCACCTACCAGCAGTTCCTGCGTGGGCCGAGCAGAGGAAAGCCAGGATCATATCAAACACAGCTGAAGAAAATCCACAAGCCAAATCATAAAACCGAAAACAACACAGATGCCCAGGACAGGAAGTCTTCCCTTAACCCATAGTTCCATAGAAGTGTTCTCAGATGAGAGCTGCCCAGAAGAACACAGGATACGGGGATTTTTTAAGTTATCACAATTTTTATCAGAGAATTCAAGGAATTTAAAGAGGACATAAACACGTCACAGGACTCATAAGCACTCAGCAATGTTCGCGATCATACAAAATACGGCAAATAAACAGTGAAAAAGAAAGTCTGGCTGTTTGGTTTATTTATCATTTTGCTGTTTCTGTTTGTTTGTTTTTTTTTTCAAGACATCATTTCTCTGTAGCTTTGGAGCCTGTCCTGGAACTGCTCTTGTAAACCAGGCTGGCCTTGAACTCACAGAGATCCGCCTGCCTCTGCTCCCCGGTGCTGGGATTAAAGGTGTGTGCCACCGCGGCCTGGTTAGTTATCATTTTTTATTATTCTTTTACTTAGAATATGTAGAAGAGAAAACGTAAATATTTTATTTTTACTTGTATCTGAAAAGTGTAGGAATTAGGCTTCAGATCTTCGACCCTGGCACTTTTCAGAAATGGTGGCTTTTCTTTTCCCGCAGGGTCCACAGCTGTGTGCTCTCCGTTCTGCCTCAGTTTGTAACAGGGACAGGAGTAAGCTCCAGGGCATTGCTCCAGGGCATTTGGGATTTCTGCTGATAATCCATTCTGGCTGTCTTTGTCCCAGAAGTAACTGTGTGAGATGACAGCGTGTCACACTATGGAAACCATTTCATAACCTCCATGTCCCCTAGAACACCATATGGTAGACCTCGGATACACACAATAAAATTTATGTAGGCGTAAAAAATAAAAACGTGAGGATGAAACAGCTGAGAGAATCCATTAAGTAGAGTGAAATAAATAAGTCTGAGGCAGGTGGTGGTGGCGCACGCCTTTAATCCCAGCACTCGGGAGGCAGAGGCAGGAGGATCTCTGTGAGTTCGAGGCCAGCCTGGTCTACAGAGCTAGTTCCAGGACAAGAACCAAAAAGCTACGGAGAAACCCTGTCTCGAAAAATCAAAAAAAAAAGGGGGGGGGGCTGGAGAGATGGCTCAGAGGTTAAGAGCATTGCCTGCTCTTCCAAAGGTCCTGAGTTCAATTCCCAGCAACCACATGGTGGCTCACAACCATCTGTAATGGGGTCTGGTGCCCTCTTCTGGCCTACAGGCATACACACAGACAGAATATTGTATACATAATAAATAAATATTAAAAATAAAAAAAAAAGTCTGAGGTGGGTCGCCCAGCTCAGTAGCAGAGTACTCACCTAGTATGTATGAGGCCCTGGGTTCAGTCTCCAGCACCATCACACAAAACATAAATAAAATGTATAGAAGAAAATAAATAAAAAGTATAGTAATAAACACAAAAGTATGAGTATGCATAGCCTCTTTCATCTACTAGTAAATAATTTACTACTGTTTTGCTATTGTCTACAGCTTGTCTTCTGCTCTTCCCTCAAATTCAGCCTTTATTAGTATATCAGGGTTAAGAGGATTAAGGGGATATATTTGTGTGTGTGTTGTGTGTGTGTGCGCGTGCGAGCTTGCGCACGTGTCATGCATGCATGCGTGCACATATATAGTGTGTGTATATATAGCGTGTTTATATATAGCACGTGTATATATGTACACATATAAATATACTGTGTATGTATATATAGTATGTGTATATGTGTATAGCGTGTGTGTATATGTAGTGTGTATGTGTATTATAGTGTGTATATATATACTGTCTGTGCATAAATAGTATGTGTGTATATATAGTGAATATTATGTATATAGTATGTGTGTATGTGTGTGTGTACCAATTCACTCACCCGTGTTGTTGAGTAGAAGAAAGCATGCCAGGAGGAGAGAGAGCAGACACATGGCTACTACACCACACATACCCCAACTTCCAGTATTTTTGATATTTTTCCAAACTCTTTTCTTTGAGTTTTATATCATACCAGGTTGACCGAACTCATATTACCAAATAGCAGAAAAAAAAAAACCCGCTTTCTGTTCAGATATTCTGCATTGAAATAAATGAATGGCTCCTAACTTTAAGACTAAATTAGAAACGCATAAAGGAACTGTAAGGGAAGATGCGTGGGACTTCAGTCGTCTTGTGAAACTCGGGGAGAGCTCAGCTCTGAAACTTTAGCATCCCAGAGCTCCCTGGAACCACCAACGGACCTTTCCATGTGTTTCTTGTATCTGTTAGTGTGCTTAACTAGTGTACTTGCCTTCTATTGTTTCCAAGAACGTTCTCCTTATAGAATCCATATTACCTAGAGTTCCCCCATCCCCTGGCTGGGATCAAACCAGGGCATCTTGAATTGCTGGTAAAGTTATTTGACCAGTGAGTTAGATGCCCAGCCCCAGCTCTTGTGTGCTGGAAGCTCACTGATGACAGAGAGGATATTTTGTCTCTACAGTGACACAGTAAGGAACGGCAGAGGCCTTTCTTGGAGTGAGACACACCTAAGTTCCAATATTAACTCCGGCAATTTCTCAGTTAAAATGAGTGAAAAAGAGAGCACACGTTTGAAAAAGAGCAAGGAAGGACATTAGGGAAGGATCTGGAAGGAGGAAAAAAGAGGGAGACATGATGTAATTATAGTATTAAACTCAAAAATAAAAGAAAGAGGGAGTAGTTGGCTGGAGAGGTGTCTCAACAGGTAAAGGCCCTTGCTGCCAAGTCTGTGACCTCAGTTCAGTCCTCAAGACCTTCACAGGGGAAGGAGTTGACTCCTCGGTTGTCTCTGAACCTCCATTACATATACACCCCAACATAATAAAACTTTTAAATCTGTGTGTGTGTGTGTGTGAGAGAGAGAGAGACAGAGAGAGAGAGAGACAGAGAGAGAGAGACAGAGAGAGAGAGATGCGATTTCACCTTGTTCAGTCCCGATGCTCATGTCTGTAAACTGAAATACTAATGCCTATTTTCCTCAATTGTAAACATTCCATGAGAAGATACGGGAAAGCGTTTCTCCCGATGACTGCTATACACAGTTTTAAACCAAAAGTCACCATTATGATGTGTCTCTCCTTTCCTGGAGGCATCCCATGAAGCACAGAAGGACCTTCGTTGAGCAAATTATAGCTATAAGGAGAAAAACATTTTAGAGGAACCCAGGGGCCATCACCCTTGATTTATTTTTTTCTAAGGTGTATTTTTATTTTCACTTACATGTATATGTATGTGTCTGCCACCTATGTGCTAATTAATGTCCAGAAAAGAATGCAGGATCCCCTGAAATTGGAGTCTCATGTCATCGTGAACCACCCAGCAGAGTTAGGAACACATTCAAGTCTGCTGGAAAAGCAGCAAGTGCTCTTAACCTCTGAGCCATCTCTCCAGTCCTACACTTGACCTGTTAAACCTTTATTTTCCCCTATTGTCTTACGATTTGTAGCCACTGGGGTTGCCATGGAGCTCGGCGGCATTATCCCACACCGAAGGAGTCTCACTGGGGTGGGAAAGGAGAAAGCGGTGATCCCAGGACTGTTCTCACAGAGATCCCAACCCCATCCCTTGTTCCTTTGCTGCTCAACCACCCACTTTGGAGAATCACCTAGTGATGAGAATGTCTCTTGACTAACCTCCCCCTGTGGGGGATTCCTGGTAGCTAGACAGCCTCTTCAACTCCATCTCCTACAAGAAGTGTTTCCCGTCCCTGGGTGTGTCTCTATCTCATGCAAAAACTGGCAGCGCATACCGACCTGCTCCAGCTACCAGCTTCCTGTCACTTCCCCCAGTGAACTGCAAGGCCTCTGGGAGCAAAGTCTGGCTTGGCTTCCTGTTTGGTCAGTGCCAAGAGCACCTGTCTTCCTAGGCAATAGGGCTGCTGAGCTGAGTTCCACTGAAGCCGGTCCCAAGGCTGTAGCCAAGAGCGAAGCTCTAAACCCAGAGTTTACGCTGCAGAACCCCTCCTTTGAGCAACTAAAGTTGTTTAAGACTCACTGGGAGTGTGTGTGTGTGTGTGTGTGTATGCATACGTGTGTATGCGTGTGAATATAATCAATATACATAGTATGAAATGCTCAAAGAATAAAAAATATATTTTAAAAAAGACTCACTAGAGGAAATCACCAGAAATAGACTTCAGTAAGCTGGGAGGACTGGGGGGGGTGGAACGGGGGTTCTGTTTAGAAAACAAAGATTTCCAAGAGGCTAGCACCAACCTTTTCCCTCTTCATAATTTAATGTTTTTCTCACCACTCAGTTATTACCCAGGAACAGGGTAGAGATCCAATACCTGCAGCAGTACAATGGCTGGGAACCATTTGAAAGAGTCCTGACTGGATAAGCAGACAGAAATTACTCTACTGGTCGTAGAAAATAAATAAACATTTATCTGGTTCTAAATATGACTTTCAAATCATCCAACACATTAACCTTTTCAAAATACAAATTCTTCCATCTCAGAGACCATCACCCCATAGTTCGCTATAAAGTTCCATCTTTAGCTGGACGGGGTGAAATTAACCTCCGGGAAAATGTACGAAGTCAGTAACTCACTTTTTTCACTTCTCATGGGAAATAAAACAGAATTCCCAGTTCCACTTCATCATTGTCTTTCAGAGACTGGGACGGTTCCACAGCCTCATCTGTGCTTGAAGAACACTAAGGTCTTCAGGCTTCTCTGGCCTTCAGGTGGCTTTTCACAAACTCAGTCAATTTCCTGAACCCGGCATCCAGCCCTTCTCCAGTGACAGCTGAGCAGGGTTGCACGTACCAGCACCGGTCGCTACACAGATTCTTCACCTTGAATATCCTGGTGATCTCCTCGGCACTCAGAGCTCCGGGCAAGTCTTGTTTGTTGGCTAATATGACGACCGGCGCGTTTTTGATGTGTTCATTCTGCAAAATGTGCTTGAACTCTTTGCAGGAGTCCTTGAGTCTCTGCTTGCCGTCGGAACAGTCCACCACGTAAACCAGCCCGTCTGCGTTCTCACAGTAGCAGTCCCAGACGGTTCGCATCTTCTCCTGCCCTCCAACATCCCACACGGTGAGCGGAAGATCAGTATCCAGCTGGACCATCTCCACGTTGAAGCCGATGGTTGGGATGGTCGTGAGAGTCTCAGCAAGCTTTAACCTGTAAAGCAGAGTAGATTTCCCAGCCGAGTCGAGTCCCAGAAGAAGAATATGGGCGTGTTTGCCTTTGGGATTTTTAGAATTCAGCAATCCCATTTTGGGATTTTTCTTCCTTGAAGTTCTTTTCTTCTGGCTGAAGACAATGGTTCCTTCCCAGTTCTTGCATGAAAACGTTTAGGGAGAAAAAGTAAGTAAGCGCCACATCTGTAGCCCGAGAGCAGGTGGCTGGCAGCTCCGTTTATATTGTGGCTTATCGACTTGATTACAGTCAAATGGCTTTATTTGCAGTCCCAGCCAATCCTGAGGAATCTGTGGGAGTAACCAGCCGGTATCACAGTGGCTCAAAGGGGACATTCTTTGCCAGTGAGTAGGATTAGGAGTGGCCCGATGCTGCAGCTTTATTCTCTCAGGTAGAAACGTTTGGAGAAAATTAAAGACTAAAAAAGACGGTCCCAGGACCACCATCTCAGAACAGAAGCGACCTTTGGCTTTAACTAGCTTGAACTAAACTCTTTGGTAGAACTATCTTATTCAGTTGTAACTAAGTATCAGAACTGTCGAACCCCCCCCCCCCCCCCCCCCCCCCCCCCCCCCCNNNNATCA